TAATAGACCTTTTTCGACAGGGCGGTTTGTTGCCCCATTTCAGACAGTGTGATGATACTCTTGAGAATTCTTCCTTTAAAATTTTTAAATAGTTGCGTGTGTATGAATAAATAATTTTTAGATGGATAAAAGAACAATTCTCTAGAGAATATCACGTGGTCAGTAATGTGACAACAAACCGCCCAAGCGAAAAAGGGCTATTAAGGCAATAGTTCAAATCAATGAAAACTGAGCATTTAGTCTGTTTTTGTACAAAAGCTTTGTAGACGGTTTGAAATGATAAGAATTTGGCCAATATTTGTTAAAATGAGCACTCCCATCCAATCTTTCTTGTGGTACCCGCACCAGGGCCTAGCTATATCTATAATCCATTTGAACGTCGTAAGTCCCATCACAATTTAAGGAATAGTGGTTGTAATCTTGTTCAACCATCCTATAGTAATCGGTGTTATCATAATTATTTTTGTTATACATTGTGGCATTTATGGAAACAGCTTCCATAATTAATATATTACAAATTGGTCGAGTTTGAAGAATTTCGCAAGAGGTTGGGATCATTTGATTTTTCTTACTTGCATTCACATGAAATTTAGCACTAGGCCCAATTTCCGGCAGAAAACGAGCCAGTGAAAATGTCAGTTAACCGTTATAGAAAAAGCACAAGTTGATTGTGAATTCCGACCTCGCCGACAGTTTTAGAGTTAAAATTTCAAATTTATCGCACCATGATCGCGTGCTTGACAACTTCCGGAATACAAAAACTCTCGTGTGCTGACGCAATTGTTTGATTGGATAATAAAATTCGGAAAAATTACGAAGGCTTCAACGAAGACTTTCTAAAACAGTCACGAGTTCCTCTGACTGTATGATCAATACAACGTAATATGATGAACTCAACATCATTGCAAGAACCACTTTACGGCGGTCGAGTTAAATTCATCAGACGCGTTCATCCGGTGCAGCAAGTTCACTCTGCAAACGGCAAAGAAAACAGCGTTAAGTGGCGAGGCTCTTTAAGACAACATCGATTGCTCTCGGACGTCTCCAATGCGTCCAAAACGTAAGAAACCCTGAGAAAAAACCGCTGACACAGTTTTATCAATCTTTTAATTGCGCCCGATGTAATCAAACCACAACGTAATGATTCCCCTACCCTACCCCCACTTAATGCTGCTTTGGTGCGTTAAATTAACGGATACAATCCTTGTGTGCCGTTCAAAGCAAAGTATTTTTTTTCCTTTTTCCCCAACTAGTTTTGTCCAGTGGAGCTTCTTGGCTACTCTATCAAGGCTAAGTAAAGACCAAACACGGTTAGTCTACGGTTAGTTGAAACCTTTTCCCGCATTTGCCCCAGTCGCCATTTTGCTGGGCTTATGATTAGCTCATAATCTAGTATTTGAATTGTCATTGGCCTAATGGGATAACTTTCAGTGTTAGATTTAGGAGAATACCACACCCACTCCATCCCCTTCTCTAGGCCCTTTAATACACCAATTATAGTAGACCTTTCCCGCATTCCACTTCAGTGCGTACGAACAATAGCACCAGAGCGAGGTTGGGGTGGACATTTTCATACATTTGTACTGTATTTTTGTCCACCCTGACCTGGACTGGGCGCTACTGTTTGTTGGAATACGGGAAAGGTCTATTGCAATTATGGAAATCACGCCAGTAAATAACGTTGGCCCAGATCACGTTCTGGTTTTTTCCAGCGACATCTGTTACATTGTATTTGTTAAGTAACTTCAGTAAATAAAACCACAAGGTGATCTTGTTTCGATGCCATTATAAAATTCTCCGAAACGACCTAATATAGAGATACATAGCAACGTAGGGACGATTAACTTTCGAATCGAGATAACGATTGTTACTTGAAGACTAAGTTACCTGAAGTGACATGCATCTTGTTGTGGACAGCTTCAGAAGTGTCAGCATATTCCCGCCATCTCATTTCTAGAAGAAAAGATCAGAAAACATTTACAGCCCATTAACCGATTTATGTGCACGATCGCGAGCGTTGCTAAAGAAGTGAGATTTCACTTCCGGTTTAAACTGGCGTCAGCCTGAGCACGGGAAATGCCAACAATTCAATAGCCTGCAAATTTTACCAATTGCCAATTTTAATTGGGTGAAGTAAATAAATACCCGTAACTGAGTTGACAAAACTAACCATTACTACTGAACAAGTGCTTCTGGTGGCAGGTTTTGACTTAACTAACAGGTTTTATGCGGCTTAAAATATGTTAAGGTATTTCTTTAATATACAGCATTAGGTTTGTGTGTAATTCTTACCTTGAGGAGGATCCAAAAACCGGTTAATTTCCAGACAAACCACTTTAACATATCTGAACCACGTGCTCGCATAGATGCTCGCGAAGTCGACTTGAAGCGAATTCCTTGCTGGAAGTCCAGAGGGAGGTCTTAGTGTTTCGAACAGCTCCAGATGAACAGACTGATCCCACGCTGCAGATGGACAGAGTTGTGGCAAATTGGTGAAGGGAAGGGAAATTTCTGCTTGTTGAAGTTAAAACCATTAATGACGGGTGTTCTAAGTGGATGGTCGTCTCATTGTCAGAGAGGTGCTGGAGATTTAAACTACAAAACCTTACGTTTTTAATCTTCGGTTATATTAATACTTGTTTGTGAATTGAGATCATTTTATTATTATTACTGTAAGTGATTCTTACTAAACAGTCCGGAATTCCCGACACTTTGAACTGAAAATTTCATGACGAGCACAAAATTGAAGCTTCAGACCAGAGTGAATGTTGACTCAGTCGCTGAAAGCAAATTCAGTGTTGGAATTAAGTGGGGCTAAATTTCGGCCAGCAGGCTCGAAACCGAGCGTGCAGTTATTTCTCCCCTGGCGATTTCACTTTGATGTATTCTTGCGTGTTTCCTAGCCTCAAACGACTTAACTTTGTTTGATCACTTTCGATGACTGATGTCATTCCAGTTTGTTTGGAATCGAAAGTAACATCGTTGTCATTCATCGACATAAAAGAAGATGGAAAGTAAGGAAGTAATACCACTTTTCAAGTTATTTTAGACAGGCTATCCAGTTCTCCCGTGGATGTCTCCACGCGCTTTACGTGGATGTTTTCGTGGAGAATGAAAATGTATGTAAAGCGGCTTGGGCTGTCCACGCGAGTAAAATTCGCGTCCGTAGGGTTGGCTACAAAGTACTTCTAGATCCTCCTGGGATTTCAGAAACCGGAAGTCATCTAAAAATAGCTTGAGAGGGATTACCCTGTGAACAAGGTTTACATGGGAGATTAAGATGATTTCCGCAGAACATTCGAGCAATAATGGCAAAATAAAGTTACCACAAAACCTCATGGCATGGTAATTATTGAGACTTAAGCTCTAAAGCTGACCCCACACTTAGAGGGTCCACAATAGGGTTTTCAGATCCCGCTTTCCCGCCCGTTTTTTCCTGTTAATCCCGCCATCCCACCTTTTTTGACTGGAAATCCCAATCCCCCCTTCTTTTCAAAGACGTTTCTGCGTTAATTATTAATTTGTTAAATTAATAATTAGTTAAATTATTAACACAGAAACTTTTTTTAAAATAAGAAAGATCACAAAAGAATTCAAGCAGAGAAGTAAGCACAAATGATTATAACGTTTCTTTCCATAAACGGTTTACTGTTTGTTTTCTTTTGTCCACGTAACAGTGAAAGAGATGGCTTGTATACACACTTGACAGTTTCTTTCAAAGCTTTCAGCGTCTTTACTTTCCTTGAAATCTGGGCTCAGAACTTTTCTTTCTGAATGAAGGCATTCCTGCTCGCGCATCCTTTTCGGAATATATGGCGACGCATACTTCATTCGGTAAATCACTATCACCGACATCCGATGTGGCTATCCTGGCCCAAACAAACCAAGCGCTCTGGAGAAGGTCGAAAGACTAGAAAAACTAGAAATGATCGGCGGCCAAGATTACAGACGCAAGCGTCGAAAATGTTGGAAATGGACAGATGTCATTGATGTCAGAGGTCAACACAAATGATCGCAATCAGTAGGAATAGGACTGAAAGACCTCATACAAGCTCATACAGTCTCATGATGCTAACGTAGTCAAGCGATAATAATTAGGGAGCTTAAGCAACGACGACGACGACGCCGACGACGACGCCTAATAAAAAATGAATTTATATTTTACCAGCGAAATTCGCGATTGTCTAGATCTGTTTGGTGTGCCAATGGCTCTAAAAACGTACTCAAGCGAAATATGCAATGACAGCGTTCAATTCCAAATGGAAATACGAAAAATTAGCTGTCGTGGTCCACGTTCAGTAGACGACGTAGAATTTGGTGATTTCACGCTGTTATTTTGCAGAGGACGGCAAAGAAATGTACAAAGATTTATAACGCACGTGCACAGCTATTGTTTGGCTCATTAAACCTTTTGTTTGGTGACGTTCTCGTTGCCGTCGTCGTCGTGGATTGCTTAAGCTCCCTAATGAATACGTTTGACAGGACCTGACAGGGTACAGATCCGTTGCTATTCATTACTTAAAACCTGACACAGCTATAACGTACAAAAGGTTCGTTTCTGCCAGCTTGTGGTTCTTGCACTGGTCAATAACAATTTATGAGGTGACGTAAGAATTGAAATCTCGTATCCCGCTATGTTCCCCTTGCGAATCCCGCATCCCAACCCTATAAAAACACGAAATCCCGCTCCCGCTCGTAATTGTAATTCCCGCTTCCCGCCCCTGTTTTCAGCTCAAATCCCAAATATCGCGGCGAAAAAAAGCCAAATCCCGCATCCCACCAAACCTATTGGAGACCCTCTTCTTACGATGTTTGACATTAAGTTTCTTGAGAATGCTTGAGAATTTAATTGCGGGGTCACTTAGAGAAATTAAAGTTAGTTGTCTTAGATAATATTCCAAACGTTACCGTGCTATGAGTAGATTTCTAGTAAATAATTTTTGCGCTTATTGCTCGAACTTTGAGCGGAATCCGTCCTAAGTCTCTTACTCTTCATCCTCTTTTCATCGACAACAATACTATTTAAAGACCTGAGGACTGAAGTTACTTCAGATTAGACAGTAAGCTGCCGTGTCAATCGCCCGTGATAGGTGGGCAGAGAGCTTTTCTCAGAATATTTTATTACATCAAGCGCTATTTTTCGTTTTTGCTTTCGTCGATTATTCGCTAAGCAAATCAGAAATAGAACCTGACCTCAGCTGGCTCAGACACTATTAAATCCAATAACATCGAGTTCTTCATTTCATTGTGAAATCCGTGAGGTTGGAAGAAGTTTGTCAGTTAGATATATCCCGTTTCAGCCCGAGTCGAACTTGTCATTACAAACGGTAGGTACACTAATGAAGTAATGAAAGTATTGTTCCTTAGAGTAGAGCATTGCAGAGGCAGTAGCAAATTGTAAAAAGTAGAGTACTGTGTTGTAAATAATGTGATTGTGTATTTTTTCAAAACCAAAAGAAAAGATACACTAAGTAATATATCAACCACGAAAGATCGTGATTGACCACATTTTCAAACAGAGAGAAGAGAATTGAGTATTTTTGTCGAGCTTTGGGGTGTTTGGAAACGTGCTTCACTGTCTTGAGTGTTTCAGATATATGTTCTCGATCGAAACTAAAACTAATTAACTGGAGAAAACGGAGAAATAAAATCGTAAAAATCTCTGCTAATTATCTTCAGCTTTCTAAACAACGTCACGGTCATGATTTCCTTTGTTTAAACTTGAGGAATTATGAATCTCGGATTTGAGAAGGGTATTTCAAAGCTGGCAAAAAGAGACAGACTTTATTTTCCGGATAATTGAAACTACATTCAACAGAACCGAATTTCAAGTAATGATGTAAGCTATGATTAAGTCAAATTAGCTTCTGCAAATTTCAGTTTCGTACATTCGTCGTCTTCCTGTCACGGAACAAAAGTATGACAGCATAAAAATCGATAGACTTTCTTTGATAATGCACTGAAAATTAAACATGCAGAAAGAATTTTCAAAGGTGCTAGGGTCGAAGGTTTTATCATTTTAACCTGCAACGCATCCTAACCATATTAGGCGTTAGTTGCAGCTCTGCATGTAATCAAACGAAATCAATCAACATGCAGGGAACTCAGAAATACGTGCTTTTATCTTGTGATTATAACCTCTCTGTTGTTATCTGCATTTTGCTAGAGAAGAAGACGGCGTCATGAGTGTAATAGAAGATGTTATTGAAGTCTTGTGTATTGGGTCGATTGTGGCTACTTTCCTGCTCAACACCTATCGTGCTAAAAACGCTATCGAGTTATCTAAGGAATGCTTGATTCTTCTCGACAACATAGCTAGCAAACTCGTTCCTGATGAAGAATTCGTCAAGATAATTTACAACAAAGTATACTCTACGCTGTTCGTGGCGTCTTGTATTATCCATGATCACACAAATGCAGCTCAATATGGCAGGAAGCTACTTGTCATACACCACGAATTGGGTGACAGAACAAACGAATGCAACCTGAGCAAGGCACTGGCAAGCATTTATCTTCAGCAAAGTAAATATGTTGACGCAAAAGAACTTTATGAGAGAGCAATCAGCATAATTGAAGACACTGGTATCGAGAAAGGGAGAGCAGACGTCTACGAGAGACTCGGATGGGTGTGTTATCATCTTAGCGAATATGTTAAAGCTAAAGAGTATATTGAAAAAGCCCTTGCGATATCAACAGAAATTGAACACAGAGTAGGAATAGCATCGTGTTATGGAAACCTAGGAACGATATTTCTGTCTCTTGGTGAGTATGTCGAAGCAGAAGAGTACCTGGAGAAAGCACTTGCCATCACGGAAGATATTGGTCACAGACGAGGAGAAGCCGCGTGTTGTGGCAACCTTGGAGCTGTGTTTAAATCGCTTGGTAAATATGTCATAGCTGGAAAGTATCTTAAGAAAGCACTAAGTATCACAAAAGAAATCGGAGACAAAAGAGGAGAAGCTTCCTGCAATGCAAATCTTGGAACTGTTTTTAAATCCCTTTGCCAGTATAGCAAGGCTCAAGAGCATCTTGAGAAAGCTCTTGCTCTCAGATCAGAGGTTGGTGACAAACATGGAGAGGCATCTGATTACGGGAACCTAGGGAATGTATTTCTATCCCTCGGGAAGCCCGCGATAGCTGAAGAGTGTCTTGAGAAGGCGCTTGCAATCAGAAAAGACATTGGTGACAGACGAGGCGAAGCAGCAGATTACGGCAGCCTAGGGACTCTGTTTACCTCTCTTGGTAAGTACATTAAGGCTAAAGAACACCTGGAAAAAGCACTTGCGATCAGAATAGAAATTGGTGACAGACCCGGAGAAGCAACTGATTACGGAACCTTGGGAAATGTGTTTCGATATCTTGGAGATTATATCAAGGCTAAAGAATTCATCGAAAAAGCACTTGCGATCAGAAAAGAAATTGGTGAAAGACACGGAGAAGCCACAGATTACGGAAACTTGGGAAATGTATTTCAATTTCTTGGTAAATTTAGCAAAGCTAGAGAATATTACGAGAAAGCACTTGCTATGATGGTAGAAATTGGCGACCGACAAGGTGAAGCATCATGTTATGGCAACCTAGCAACAGTGTTTCAATCTCTTGGTGAATATGTCAAGGCTAGAGACTATCTCGAGAAAGCACTCGTGATTAATGTGGAAATTGGTGATAGAAAAGAAGAAGCAACAGATTATGGAAACATGGGAACTGTGTTCAGATCCCTTGGTGAATACAGAAAAGCTGAAGAATATCACATGAAAGCTCTCGCCATTAAAAAAGAAATTGGGGACAGGCAAGGAGAAGCCTCATGTTACGGAAACCTGGTAACTGTGTATTTTTCAACTTGTGAATATACCAAGGCTAAAGAATTCACGGAGAAGTCGCTTTCCATCAGAGTAGAAATTGGTGACAAACAAGGAGAAGCAGCAGATTACGGAAATCTTGGAACTGTATTTCTGTCTCTTGGTGAATATGTCCAGGCTGAGAGGGAAATTTTGAAAGCAATTGAGATCAGAAAAGAAATTGGCGACAGACAAGGAGAAGCATCAGACTACGGAAACCTTGGAAATGTGTTTCTTTCTCGTGGTGAATACCTCAAAGCTAACGAATATCTTGAGAAAGCGCTTAACATCAGAAAAGAAATTGGCGACAGAGAAGGAGAAGCAAGAGATTACACAAACTTAGGAGCAGTGTTTCAATCTCTTGGTGAACACGACAAGGCAATAGAATTCGATGAGAAAGCACTTGCAATTACACGACAAATTGGTAACAGAGAAGGAGAAGCAGCAAGTTACGGAAACCTAGGAGCCGTTTTTCAATCTCTTGGTAAACATGCTAAGGCTGTAGAGTATCTCAAGAAAGCCCTTGCGATCAAAATTGAAATTGGTGACAAACGAGGAGAGGCTGCAGATTACGGAAACCTTGGAACCGTGTTTAAATCCCTTGGTAAATATGGCAAGGCTGAAGAATATCACATGAAAGCACTTGCGATTAAAAAAGAAATTGGAAACAGACAGGGTGAAGCCGCATGCTATGGAAACCTAGCAACTGTGTTCACATCTCTCAGAGACTATGTCAAGGCTGAGCAGTGTCTTGAAAAAGCACTTTTCATAAGCAGGGACATTGGAGACAGTGAAGAGGAAGTTAAAAGCCTTTATAACTTTGCCTGGCTGAAGTTTTTAGAGGGAAAGATTGAGGAAGCGTTTTTATATCTCCTTTCAAGCGTCCAAAAATGCGAGGATTTGAGAAGTGTACTTGGAGACAACGACCAATTCAAGATTTATTTTGCAGATGAGTACGGTTTAGCCTACAAGTGGCTCTTTAGAATGATTTTTGACGCAGGGTTTCCAATTAAGGCTCACTATGTTGTTGAGCTGGAACGGGCCAGAGCCCTAGTAGACTTGATCTCGGCGCAGTATTGCGTGGAAAAACAGATCTTCGGCCTAAATCCCAAATCGTGGTATGGTATTGAAAAGGTGATAGAGAGAGAAAGTAACTCAATATGTCTTTACATTTCTTATCACGCTCAGAGAATGTATCTATGGATTCTCGAAACCAGCGGCGTCATCCATTCCCTGAGAAGAGAGGTAGATGAAAGCATGTCTGAGGAAAGATTTGATGAATATTTTGCTAAAAACTTCAGAACATTTGGTTTGTTGCCAGAGAAGAATTGCGAAGATCGATCGTTAAATGACTGTCAACTTAACCCTAACTCATCCGAGGAATGCAGCCGCGCAGGCCAACGACTTGTTGAAGAAGATGAAGAAAGCGAAGAGTGCAAACCTTGTCTTTCCCTTTGCTACAAAATGATGATCGCTCCCACGGTTGAATTACTCAAGGAAAGCGAAATCATCATTGTGCCTGACCGCGCCTTGTACAAAGTTCCATTTGCAGCGTTAAAAGATGAAAGTGGGAAGTATTTATCAGAGACTTTCAGGATCCGCATAGTTCCTTCTTTGACAACTCTCAAGCTAATTCAGAACAGTCCTGAAGACTATCACAGTCAGACTGGTGCACTGATAGTGGGTGATCCTGAGGTTGGTCAAGTGTTTTACAAGGGAGTTTATAGAAACGTGTCACGATTGCCCTGTGCTAATAAGGAAGCGGAAATGATTGGAAGACTGCTGGGTGTTCAGCCTTTGCTGGCAGGGAACGCAACCAAGCAGGCAGTTCTTCAGAGGATACATTCCGTGAGTCTTATACACTTTGCCGCGCATGGTAACGCTGAAAGAGGCGAAATAGCGCTTTCCCCCGTACGTCCTACCAACAAGACTCCTCAAGAAGAAGACTACTTATTGACAATGTCTGAAATTTCAAGTGCTCAGCTCCGAGCTAAACTGGTGGTTCTTAGCTGTTGTCACAGCGGCCAAGGGCGGGTCAGAGCAGAGGGAGTTGTTGGAATTGCACGAGCGTTCCTAGGTTCTGGTGCTCGCTCAGTGTTGGTGGCACTGTGGGCCATTCAAGACATCGCGACAGAACAGTTTATGAACTGTTTCTATGATCACCTTGTTCGTGGTGAAAGTGCCAGTGAATCTCTTCACCAGGCCATGAGGTGGATGAGAGCTAACGGCTATTCTGACGTGACCCAGTGGGCTCCTTTTATGCTGATTGGAGATGACGTGACTTTTCACTTTGGAAGATAAACGCAAATTTCAGTAAGGAACAAATGGATTGTTATTTGGAAAGCAATTCAAAATTGAATTCAGTCCAATAGATTGTAAAGAAGTCTACCAGCCTCTAGCTTCAGTATAACTACATTAGAGAGGGAAAACAGACTATTTCTCTTTTAAAAAGTGGAATGTTTCATTCGGCTCAACCGAACGTCATCAGCCACATGAAGTTCGGTTGAGGCTAGACTTGCCACAAGTCGACTGCGAAAAGAGAGCGAGCGAGCAGAAGCGAGGGACGAAGTCTAATCTAGCGGAAACGGGCTTTGAGAAAGTCTAGGTTGAGGCGAACGAAATACTCCACTTTCTAAAAGAGTGATATTGCGCTCGGAGTACAGGAAATTATTTTAAATTTTAAGCATGATTCTATAGCAGGAAAATATATATTTTTTTATTGTAGACTGTTTCTCTTTCTTTAAGTGTAAGTAAAAATTGATGGCTTTTCAATCTGACCTACCCACGATAGCGAACTTGACAAGCTTTACTTGTTGGTGTTTTATAACAGATTGAGACTCGAACTCTATCTTTCAACTATCGCGACAAATGTAGCATTCATGCATGCATTATTATCACGTTTTACTCACTGTCAGTGACAACATTTAGAAAACCACTGTAAGAAAGTGCGCGATGAAAACCGCATAACCAGTTCGACTACAGTATGGACTTAACGAGAGTGAGAGCAAAGAGAGTTTACATTGTAATCGAAATTAATTGACAAGACGTTAAAGGGGCTAGGTTACCCAATTTTAGGCAATTTCAGCACTGATCAAATGGTCATAGAATTAACTAAAATATCACAAAAACGACTCATAACTATAGAAGATCTCAAACAAAACACAGGAAAGCCAAGAAGGGACATGGATGGACAAAACTGGTGAGGATTACATTTGGATAAATTTGATAAACGTCGACCCACCTTTTTTCAAATTTATATCAGTTTATATCAAAACGTCGTTGACACAGCTGGAAAATCATTCTCAGTTGTTATGTGGCCGTGATTTTGCAAATGACTTTTGCTCTGCCAATTTGACGTTTAGAGCTCGTAATTAGCAAAATTACACAAAATTACCTAAAATAGCGTGACCTAGCCCCTTAAACGAGTGGTATTCCTTTTTCCAACGTTTTCTAAAAGAAATAGAAAATAATTATTTTCCCTCTGCTACCATCGGTTTGTAGAAACACTCGTGAAAGTTTGGGAAAGCTTGAAAAGAGCCAAAGGCGAGTAGTTTGACAGCGTCGAGTGTTTTTTCATGTAACTTGTTAGAAACACGGCCATGAAGAATTCTATTAACAGAGGTACAATGTACAGTGTATGTTGCAATTGCGCGGGGGGAGGGGGGGGAGGAGGGGGCTAAGAACTAAACGACTTTGTCCTGTCTACTGCAATAGGCAATCGACCCGACAAGAAAACACAGCTGCAAAGTTCCTAACCTTGTTTAATAGCCTCATTAATCTCACGTTTCTAAATATCTATTTATAAAGGTTCCCATCAATTGGTTTTCGCAGATTTCTTTACAGGCAGGTGGAAACCTTTTCCAGTACATTAGCACTGTAAAACTATTCAAGTATAATCAGACAAACAGCATTATTTTTGCCAGATACTTTGGCAATGTTTTTTTTTTTCGAGGTTTTTTTTTGGGGGGGGGGGGATGCGAAAAGGGAGGCGGGGGTCAACTTGTTTGAATACAATGTTAGTTGACATCAAATGCCATGCATTTAGTCAATTAACACATAAAAACTCTTCTCTTGCGATTGCCTTATTTCACGATACAACCCAAGTGGTTTGTTTATGCATTTACAATAGTGGCATTAATCTTGAACTCTTTATTCCTGGTAGTAAATTCTGGTATTGTTTCTTGATATGTTCAGAGGAAGGGGTAGAAACTAAGAATGCACGTTCCTCCATTTGGTCGCTGTACAATTTGCTGATGATTTCCATACCAAGTAGCAGTTGACAAATTGAGTCTCTTGAGGTCATTAAAATGTATATAGTTTTGTTGCATTTTGCACGTGATATTATCCCATCAACAGTAGTAGCAGTATTGTCAGCGAGTTTAGCAATATTAGAGGAACTGAAACACAAAAACAAAAGTAACAGAGTGTTATTAATTAATATTGAAACAGCAACATTTTTTACGATAACTGTAGATATTCTCGCACACTCATTGGCAAATTTTCATTGTGAATAAACGGACAGACACATGAATTCATAATTTATGCAATGCCTCAAAGAGCGAAAGTGGACAATTTGACAATTTGTTATCATAAAAAGCAAACTGGAGTCAGTTTCTCATGCATCTGTCCTGTTATTGAAAACGAATTTGGTCATAACATTGTCGAAGTAGTCTGCAGATCCACTCGGCTATCGCTTCGTGGATCCACAGCAACTTTGACAATGTTACGACAAAACTCATGATCAATAACAGGACAGACGCATAAAAAACTAACATCAATTTGTTAAGTAGAGGTTTATTGCATAATTTAGCCACTGGCTGATATTTTGTGTTTAATGAATCTTTTGATCCCAGACAATATGGTGGCTGTACTTTTTTTGTTTTTGCACAAATTTCTTTTACATCTCCACAACAGTCCCTAACTTGCGTGTGATTTTCAGTTTGTTTGGTATTGACCAGGCTGACATGCCAATGAAACTAGACAGTGCACAGTGATAGCATACTTCTAGCACCTCAGTCCAAAACAACCTAATAAACCTAAGGATCCCAGAAGCCTTGCTCAGCCATTTCAGCATGTTAATTAAGTCTGCAATGCTCCGTCAACAAGCTTTATACAAAGCTACAGTACATGAGCATATGCACTCTACTGTACAGTATTTCCCCATCTCAGGGCTCTACAATGCGACTGTATCAGTCACATTTGTGACTAAGTTTTCTCCCTTTGTAACTAAAATTTCTTCAGCAGTCGCAACTTTGGGACCAGTTATCACCTAAATTAATAAAGAAATGAAAATTGGAAAATTTTGTGTCCTACTTGTTGTGGAGATTTGAAAATGTAAAGGCAAAATCCTGCTAAAGTTCCAAACAACACAACGTATAAACAACCTTACACCATTTGCTCGATGAGACGCCATTACAGCAGTTCTGTTATAAACAGGTAGGTCATGTATGGGGACTGATTTCTACAACACAAAAACTGAATGTCACTTCTGGTTTTTGCGGCCTCAAACTTCCTGGGAATTTGATGGGAATTTGACGTGAAAATGTGAAAGACATTATAACAATAGTACTGTGCAACAAAATTGCGAGCCCGGAAACTACAGTAGATAGATAGATAGGGTTTCAGAAATTAAGATGTTTGGCAGTTTGGCCATTGATAACATTACATGTATGTTCTTTTGGTTTTCAGGAAAACACAAAGTCAAGAAACACACAAAAGAAATAACTACATGTAATAATTACTTTCATTGGCAAAAGGCTAAAGAAACTTACGTGTAAAACCACGGATTTGAAGTTAAGCAGCTTTTTGCTCAAACTAAGATGCTATTGTCCTCAGCCAAAAAAATGCTCAGCCATCTCTAGAACCATAACTGGTTCAAGAAATGGGGAGTGTAACATTCATAATGGGGAGGGGCGGGGGGGAGGGGGGAGAGTAACTTATGCACAGTAAAAAAATCCAAGGGAAATGACTTATGTTCAAGATACCAGTAGGTTGAAGTAATCAAGGGCTTGGGAAATCAGGATATGACTTGCATGATTTAAGAACTAAGACATTACTTTACTTACTTCTCATGACAGTCCTAACAGAATGAATAAGGTTAATGACTTGATGTTTTGTTCCTCTATCTTCTCCAAATCCTGACAGTTGGTCAGTTCCCCAACCAACTACAAAAAATGTTACAATACAGTATTAATAAAGATGTTTATAAGTTATTTTGTTTGTACAATGTGTAGTTCCAGAAAATATCCATACCTAAGACCTAAGTTCCCCATTCCCCCCTCCCCCCTCTGGACATTCCAATTAAGCCCCATACATTTCTTTAAATGGTTTGGTCTCACAAACCCCCCCCCCTCCCAACCACCCCCCAAGAAATTCCAATCTCTTCTGTGGGGGGAGTATGAATGTTTTCTGGAACTGCACATCGTACATTTTCAGTTGTGTACAGTCTGTGCAGTACTCACATTTATAACTCTGAAGTCAGAAGAGTTAAAATTTGTGCATTAAGTTTACAACCCAAGTATTAAAAAACAGGTACAAGTTATTTTCACGGATATAAGTACAAGTGGTCATAAAGTCATTACAATCAAGATACAGTGTGATGTTCATCTCATTATAATTTGTAGATGGTTCTTTTGTGCACCTATTTCAGATGCCATGTCCCTCCCAAATACAAGCCTGACCAGATGCAGTATTCTAACAAAAAATTTACACAGACCAGTGACAGACTTATTATCAGAATTTCATGGAAGTATTAATATTGCTATAGTTTTAATAAATAAAAACAAGACACAGTGTACACGCATGCTTTGATCTACAGTAGTATTGTCATTACAGTGTCATCTAAGCCAACTCTCCTGTCCGGGAATCACCAAGTTTCCCGAATATAAAGGAAAATCCTTAAAAAACATTTTTCACACCTATTTTGGCTAATTTCTCACAGTTTGGGGAAAACTTTTCGAATATCTGATGCACTTTGGGGGTGGAATCAGCGGAGCTCTTCTTTCACAAATTGTTATTAGGGTCAACAAAGTAAAATATTTGGTGATCTCCCAGATTTAGGTTTTTTTGGTTGGCCTTTGTCATTACCATGGGCAAAATTCTTGATATCAAGCCCTTAGGTAAGAAAGCAAGCTAGCTTGTACTTGAGAGCAGGTGAAGGGCAAACAGTTTCCAGTTTAAACGTAACAAAGAAACTTGTGAGCAATACAAGGGAAAAGTCAGCCAGTCTAAGACAACGCCTCGCACGACTATCAAATTAATGAAAAGAAAATTGGATGAGGTATTAAAACTGGATCAATATCAAAGCTTAAAATAACATGCTGCATTACTTGATGACATGAAAATTTGTTTATCAAGTACAATGTACATGTATATTCTGAGGTGGTCACATGTACTGTGTAAACTTTCATTCTTGGATTAATTTTCGAGAACAACGAATTTCTTTACCGCTGAATATTTCTTTTCAGCTGATTACAAGCTATGACTACAGTTAAGTACATATATCCATTGACACTCTCACAAACGTAATTGAAACACCTGGATAGTACATGTACATTGTATGATCTGATTAAAATGTTTCAGAGTCATTACGAGTATTTAGTGGATGTTAATGTAGCAAATTAATCTCTGCCAGTTTATGGAAAGCATGAAACTTACAGCTAATGCATACCTTTAGCCAAAAAACGTTCTTCGTGAAGCACAGCCACGGCATTTACGACTAAAAGACAAGCTTCGAGCAAACTGTAAAACGTGAACGCCATCTTGAATTTCTGACGTGTCGACATGCGCATTAGCATCAGCTAAAATTCATCTCCAGTACTTTCGCGAGCTTGCGTTACCGACTTCCGGCGGAAATAGGCACGCTCATGCAACATGGCGGCAAAGCTGATGCAACTTCTTCGCGAGAGCTCTTTCTGTAGAATTTCTTATTTTTTTGGCGTCGTTGTTGAACGTCACAATTTTTGAGATAGCCTTGTTTTTACTGTTGTTCGTACCGGCAACAAATGCAGATAAAAAGACATTGTGACGACGCATTTACGTGCTACCAAGCACAATTTTTTCGATCGAAGACGATGAGTATACTGGAGTGATGCAATTTTGTGTGAAATCAGTTCTTAAAATTGACCATGAAACGCTTCTGAAATGGGGGTTGTTGAAGTGTACGTGGCTTTCTCCAAAGCAGCCACATTAACGTCCGACGTGTCCTTAAAACCTAATAAAAATCACTCCTCTGTCCTAGCCAGTTAATTTGGTGTCGTAATTCAATTTGAGTAAGACTGTGTGAGGTACCCGTACTCCGTTCAAAGACATGTTCAACACAAAGACGTGTATTTCTTTATTTCTTCTTGTTGGACTGAGGAGTCTTGCAAAAGGATCTCTGTTGATAAACTACCCTTTCGATGATTATGGGTAAGTCTATTTGTTTATGTTTCTCCATTTGCCATCGGGAAGTAACAGTTTAGTTTCAGTGTAATGGCTTCTAAGGGACCGTTCATTTTTTATGAGGGAGGGGGGGCTGGTGGGATTTGGGAAGCACCATTTAAAAATCGCATGACCCCCCCTCAGCTTACCAATT